CCTGTGGTCCCAGTTTGGTTTAAGCTACCTGGTCTTCCATTACCTTACTTCAAGCTTAATGCACTTTTTAATATAGGGAGAGCACTAGGTACTCCCCTCAAGGTTGATGCTCCTACTTTCAATAAAGCAAGGCTTTCAATAAGGCAAGACCTGCTGTTGCTAGAATTCAGGGGGAAAGAGACATAACCCTCCCTGAGATAAAAAGGATATGGATTGGTTCTGATGCAGAGGGGTTTTGGCAAAATATAACTGCTGAACAAAAGCCTTTTACTGCCAACACTGTAAAATGTTTGGCCACACTATTGAGAAATGCTATAGGCTCCACCCCCTACTAAAAAACTCTCTAAGAATCCAAGCGTAGCTAATCAGGTTTTTAATCAGGGATAAAGAAATAATATCACTACATTTAATCACAGGAATGCTGTCAAGAAAACCAGTAAAACTCTTTTTGTTAAGAACACAAATCCTCCTGCCACTTTCCCCTCTGGTGATGCATTGGGGGAATTATCAGAACCCCAAAATAAATTGGAAATTTCTCCAGGTTGTGTGGAGAGGGCAGAACCTAATGAAGTCAGTATTATTACCCCTCCTTCCCCCACACTTGCTGGAAAAGGGAAATGTGCTCTGAAAAGCCCCTTGATCACTGAGGCTGACACTAGAATTATTGAAGCTGCTACTGTTGATGTGCAGCAGGCTTTGGGAGAAGATTGGCAAAGTCAGAAAATAAGGAAAAAGAATGTGATGAAAAGTTCCCTGGTCAATGAGGCTACTCCTAGCATTGCTGAGGCTGATGTCATTGATTTGCAACAGGATTTGGAAGAGGATTAGCAAATTCAGAAAACCAGGAAAAAGAAAAAGCAGACTTCTTAGGTGTAGCAACTTCTACAAGGAACAAACTCTCCTAAGAAGGATGGAAAGGCTAAGACTCATTCTGGCTCTACCTCTACATATAATAGAGAAAGAACTAGGTCAAGGTCTCAACCTTCCATTCAATTCTCACCTATCAATGATTAGTATTCCTCTTTGGAATGTTAAGGATCCCATGATTAATATTTTATGTTGGAACATTAGAGGAGTGGCTCACCCCTCCTCTCGTTTAAGATTAAGACATCTCATCAGACTACACAAGATTTGGTGCTTTGCAATTCTTGAACTTATGGTCACCAAATATCCTCAAAACATCATCAACAAGTTTTCCAAGTTTACTTTTTATGCTAATTCCACTAATAAAATGTGGCTCTTTGTCAGACCTGAAATTCAGTGCAGTTTACTTGTTAACCATCATCAGTTTCTTCACATTCAGTTTGCTATTGGAGCATAGGTGGGATTTGTATCATTCATCTATGCTAGCAGCCTTCCTAGATACCAATAAGAATTGTGGCATGAGCTGATAACTTCGGGAAAAAATATTGACTCTTTCTGGATTTTGGGGGGTGACTTCAATTGTATCACTTCTCCAACTGAAAAAAGAGAGGGTAAAGCCCCTTTACTTTCTCCAATAGCCAAATTCAATAACTTCATCAGTGATGCTGGTCTATTTGATCTAGGCTTTCAAGGTCCAAAGTTCACTTCGAGAAGAGGCACTTTGTGGGAAAGATTGGATAGATTGCTTGGCAACTTCTTATGGTTTCAAAACTTCCCATTCTCTACTGTCACTCACCTTGCAATGGCTGGATCTGATCACAGACCTATCCTTTGCTCCATACAGAACACTACTAGACCAACTCATACACCTTTCAGATTTCAGAATATATGGACTCTACATCCAGATTTCATTAAGGAAGTGGAAAACAATTGGAATTCCAACCTGAATGTAGACCCCTGTATCAGATTATGGTTAAAACAAAAGAACTTAGCCTCTCATCTGAAAATATGGAATTGGGAAAGATTTGGTAATGTCAATGAACAACTGGAGGCCATCCAAAAAGAAGTTCATAGTTTGGAGGAAGGCTTACAAATGGGGATGAACTCTGAATATGAGGTTCACCATGCCAATGAGAGACTCCTTGCACAAATCAGCTACCATGAATGTTTCTTAAAACAAAAAGCTGTTGTCACTAAATTCACTGGTGGTGATAGAAATACTAGATACTATCATGCTTGTATCAATCATAGAAGGAAGTGTAACATGATCTTAAACATAATCAATATCAATGGGAGGAAGTTAACCAATGCAGAAGATATAGCTTATGATGCAATCCAACATTTTCAAAAGGTGTTCACCAATGAGCTGGATTTTAGAAGCCCAATTGAAACGGAGATGTTCACTAACTGTCAGCAATATGTTCAAAATTTAAATCTCACTATTACCCCATTGGAAGATGAGATAAAACAAGCCTTAGATTCGCCTGATGGCTACACATCTACTTTCTATCAAGCCACATGGGATAGGACTAAACAAGACATTATGCTTGCTATCCAAAATTTCTTTCTTGGTGTAGACCCCCCTAAATATTTCAGTGCCTCCACCATCACTCTGATACCAAAGAACCAAAATAGGAGAACTTGGGGGGATTATAGGCCAATCAGCCTAACCATTGTGATCTCCAAAATAATAAGCAAAATCATTGTGTTTAGGCTGCAACCCCAACTTCATCATCTCATTAGTGACAACCAAGTGGCTTTTATTAAAGGGAGGAATATTACTGACAACATCCTACTTGCCCAGGAACTCTAGTTAGATCTTGACAGAATTTGTAGAGGTGGAAATGTCATTTTCAAACTAGACTTAACTGGGAATTCATCCTTGATACTCTTTCTGCTAGAGGCTTCAATGAAGGATTTATTAATTTGATACACAGATGGCTTAAATGAAATTCACATTCAATTCTAATCAATGGCAAGTGTCATGGCTTCTTCAATGCTACCAGGGGGATCAAGCAGGGAGACCCCTTGTCTCCAACCATTTTTATACTTGCTCTGGACTACCTTTCAAGACAATTGAATAAGTTGGTTACTAATTCACCTCATTTGGCTTTCCATCACTGATCTAATATCCTTTTAAGCCATTTAGCTTATTCTGATGACATAAATTTTTTCTCAAATGCTTCTATGAATTTTGTTAGGAGGGTATGTAAATGTCTTCTCCACTTTCAGCACACTGTCGGCACTATTTTTGGTGTAGGGTTTGCC